TGGTGCATTTGGTGGTATGTGAAATACAACTTTAAGAAGAAAATAGAGTATACAGTGCCTGGCTGACTCAGTCAGTGGAGCATATGACCCTTGATCTTTGGGTTGTGAGTTCAAGCCCCATGAGATACTTAAAAATAAAGTCTTTTTAGAAAACAGAGTATAGGAAAATAGGCAATATCTTATGTTGCTGGTCGGAATGTAGATTGATACATCCCACTGAAATGCAATTTTGTAGGATTTATCAAAATTACTGGGGCACCTGGTTCAGTCTGTTAATCATCTGCCTTGGGCTCAGGTCAGGATCCCAGGGTCCTAGGATAGAGCCTGGCATTGCGCTCCCCGCTCAGTGGGGCATCTGCTTCTCCCTCTCCCTCTGCTCCTCCCCCTGCTTGTGCTCTCTCTCTTCCTCAAATAAATAAAATCTTTTTAAAAAAAATTACAAATTCACCCACCCTTAAACCTAGAAACAGTCCTTTTCTAAGAATTTATCCTGCAGATATATTCATGTGTAAAATGATATATAGTGAAGGTACTGACTTCAGTTTTGATATATCAAAAGACTGGAAACAATCTACATGTTCATCATAATGTGACCAGTTAAACAAATTATATCCACTTACAAAGTATTACACAGCCATAAAAATCAAGATGCTCTTTTAGTAATGATGTGGAATTATTTCAAATGTAAAATAAAACAAACATGTGAAGAGTATGCTATCATCCATATAAAAAGCGAGAAAAGGTATATCTATATATGTATTTGCTTGTATATACATAAAATACTTTTTGAAAGATATATGTGCACAATTCAGATAGCACTGTTTGCCTCCAAAGATCAGAAACAGGATGCCTAAGGATCAAAACAGTGTATGTGTGCGTGTGCATATGCGCAGGGAGAGATATTCAGTAATTTTTGAGTTTTCAAACCATTATAGTTTCTATTTAAGAAGAAAAACAAAATATACATGTAAAATATTTTTAAAATAATGAATGAATGAGTCATAGGGCCATGGTTAGGACAGTATACAAAGACCTGAATTCTAGTTCTGAACTAGAATAACCATAACCATTTACCTCCTCTGCTGATCAGTCTCCCTATTGCCCGTTTGATCAAACGCCATGCATTTTTCACGAAAGTATGCAGGTTTAAAAAGGTTCCTATGTGAGGATTCTGAACAATTATGTATCTCAATATAAAAGGCTGGGTCTTTTCCGTTTAAACAAGCTCCTGGCAGCAGAACAAGCAGCAACGTTGTAAGGCACACAGCATTGGGCAAGATTAATCTCTCTTCCCGCCAGTAGATGGGGTCAGTAGGTACGATAACATGTATTTGCTAAGTTAGAAATCTGCTCTATGGGACACAGGGCCTTAGAGTCAAAGAAATGTAGAGCTAGAAAGAGCCTGAGAGTTCAGCCCAACTCCCATATTTTACAGATGTCAAAAATGATGTCCAGCAGGTCAGAGTCTGAAGACTGATGTGAAGACTGGAACCCACATCTCCTTATTCCCAAACAGTCCTCATCACTAAATAATAAGCCAAAAACCTAAAACTCAGGATTTGGGGAAATTCAGTTCAATCAGTCTAAGCTTAGTTATCACTTTATACTTTTCTAATCTAAAGTTACATGACTTTGGGAAGGATGGGTCTCTAAACATTCTATCAAAGTTGATTATTAAGCTCACAGATATAAGTATTACAGTTATTTCAAGTACCTAAATTTGAAATCATCAAATTTCCTCATTTTAGTGTCTAAATTTTTGCACAACACGTGACTCATTCAGAAATAAAACCTCTCCCCCGTTTTCATTTTCCATTTAACGTAGGCAATTCCTAACTTGAAATATGACGACAGGTTTATTTTTTGTTGTCGAGACGTTTGGAAATGACCCAAATGTCCAAGAATAATGGATTATTTAGTAAATCTGAAGCAGCTCTTGTGATGATATTTTTAATAATTCTGAGTGGGCAATAGTCTAGTGGTTATAAAGCCACAGTGCCTGGCCAAATCCTGGTCTACCGCCTGTGACCCTGGGCTAGGTTCTTACCCTCTTCCACCCTTGGTTTCCTTGTTATCAAATAGGGATAAAAGCAATACCTACCTCAGCAGGTTGCTGAGAGAAGTAAACGAACTAAAGTGTAAAGTACTCAGAATGGTATCAGTATATTGTACGTGAGGGCAATGAGGCTCCAGCTCTCCCTGAAACGTTGGCTCCTTTTTTTAAAAAAAAAAAAAAAAAGATGCTTGCTAGCCTGAGGTAATTTGTAATTGGGTCTCCTGAACTCAGAATAAAACAGGGGTGAAAAGTCAAGCAAAACGTTTGGGGAGGCTAGCTTGCTCCACTGAGGGGTCTCTAAACTGTTCTGGAGTATGCGCAGCTTCTACCCTTCCTTCGCTTCTACCTATGGGCTACTCTACACACATTGTTTCTCCAAGAAGCAATAGTGGTGAGTGGCAGAGAAGGATGTTTGGGGAACAAAAGCAGCCAATTATCAGAACAAGTTTTGTAAAGTATGGTGTTTGCTTTCCTGTTCAAGTCTGTTGGAAGGGAGGAAGTTAGAGAAAAGAATGGCCTTCCCATTCTTCTGCAATTTTTCAGTTCTCTTATTTCAGAGCAAATGCAGAACTAATTGGGGCAGATCTTGCGTTCTCTCCTTTCTTCTTTACTCAAATGCTCTCTTACTCTTACAAAGTGTCCAGGGCGAGATCTGCCTTAGAGCATAGATTCCTGATTACACCTAACAGCCAAAGTTAGACCTGTGGAAAGTACTTAGAGCCGATGTGAAGGGAGCCATCCTTTATCTCCATGGCAAACCTTGGCTATAGCTCCTTCTTAGTCCTGTGGTAAAACTCTATCTTTTCTGCTCTAGAAGTCTTCAGATCACTGTGGAAATCTTTATCGCAAATAAACCTTCCCTTCTCTTGATCTCAGGACAACATGAGGTTAGGGTTGATCTGAGAGGCTACATGCACACAGACCTACTAGGGCAAGGTTCAAGCATATCTCGTGACTTGCACAACAAGGGCTCAAAATATGCTTAATGAAAAACAATATGTATATAAGGAGGTATGCTTGGGTTCTCAAACAGTATTCATTTATTGAATTTAATATAATAGCCATAATCACATTGGGATCTTATAAAATCATCAATCTTCCTGAAAAAAAGGATACAACTTTATGGGCCTGAGATGACTTGTAGATACAGGAGAGGCACAGACCTAATTTTACCACTTTCTAGCTCTGTCATTCTTAACATGTAATCGAACTTCTGCAAGTTTATTTGCTCATCTGTAAAAGAGGATGAAAAGTTACATCTACCTCATGGGCTATTTCAAGAATTTATTTTAAAAAAGGTCCAGCACTATGCAAATGTTGTTGATATTCTTATTTATTTAGCATACATCACGCTCTCTACAAGTAGCATATCCCTGTTAACTACATAGAAGTTTTTAAAGAAAAGCTTTTAAAGATAATGTGATTACTTCACACCTGTCAGATTGGCCAGTATCAAAAGAATAAGAAATAACAAGCGTTGGTGACAATGTGGAGAAAAGGGACCCCAGGAAACCCTCCCACATGGCTGATAGGAATGTAAATTGGTGCAGTCACTAGGGAAAACGGTACGGAGTTTCCTCAAAGAAAATTAGTAATAGACCCACATGGGCAGCCCGGGTGGCTCAGCGGTTTAGCGCCGCCTGCGACCCAGGTGTGATCCTGGAGACCCGGGATCGAGGCCCACGTCGGGCTCCCTGCATGGAGCCTGCTTCTCCTTCTGCCTGTGTCTCTGCCTCTCTCTCTCTCATGAATAAATAAATAAAATCTTAAAAAAAAAAAAAAAGAAAGAAAAAAAAGAAGACCCACAGGGCCCAGCAATTCCACTTCTGGATAGCTACCAGAAAGAAAGGGCAAAGCAACCTGAGGAGAGGAAGGCAGCCCTGAGTTCTCTGCAGCATTCTTTACAGCAGCCAAGACGTGGAAGCAGCCTACGTGTCCATCCAAAGATTAAATGCATAGTGGACTATTACACGGCCATACAACAGGATGAACTCTTAGCCCTGGCACGACGCGGATTGGCCCAGGGGGTACAATGCTAAGGGAACCGAGAAAGACAGACCCTATGATCCCACCCTATGTGTGAACTAAAAACAAAACAATGATCGAAGACAAACAGATACAAGATACAAGTCACGGAATCAGGGAACAGAGGGTTTCCAGAGGGCAGAGGCCTGGGGGGGGGGTGCAGGGGAGATGGGGAAGGGTCGCGGCGCACACCTGCCGACGCAGGCCAGGTGGGTCACCGGCCACGGCGAGGCCACGGCTTCGTGCGGTGATAAACCACAGCTACACTTGGGCGGAGCCCGGATTATTTCATGACGTGTAAAACTAGAGTCACTGCGACGGACCCCTGAAGCTCCCGGGATACCACGCCCCCACCACGCCCATCACCCTCGGTGATCGGCGACCCCGAGGCTCAGCAGCGCCCGCACAAGGTCCGGGCGGAGAGGCCCGCCAGCCGCCCCAGGGCAGCCACGCGGGGAGGCTCACTGCAAACCCTCGGGCTGCGGGCAGGCGGGTGCACCGCAGCCCGCCCCGCTCCCCCCCCCCCCCGCGCTCCTCGGGGCCTCTCCGCGGAGTCCGCCTGACCCCGGGCCCCGGACGGGCTCGCAGGCCCAGCAGCCGGCGCCGCCCCGGGAGCCCTTTCCCCAGCCGCACCTCCCGAGAGCGGGAGCGGGGGCGGCCCCGGAGCAGGTGGGCGGGCGGCGCTCGGGGCGCCTGCGCAGAGGCGGCGGCCTGCGGCCCCGGAGCAGCTGGGGCGGGCGGGAGGCCGGCGCTCGGGGCGCATGCGCAGAGGCGGCGGCCGGCGGCCCGCGGCCCGGGAGGAGCGGCGGCGGCCCCGCGCGGGGAGCGGCCGCCTCGCCCCGCCCGCCCCCGGCGTCTCGGCCGCGGCGCCCTGCGCACCCGCGAGGCTGGCGGGGCGGGGGCGCCGCGGGCGGCGTACCTGGTAGCGGCCGGTGAGCAGCTGGCTGCGCGAGGGCGTGCACAGCGGCTGCGTGTAGTAGTTGTCCAGGAGCACCCCGGCGGCCGCCAGCGCGTCCAGGTGCGGCGTGCGGATGCGCGAGCCGTGGAAGCCCACGTCGTGCCAGCCCAGGTCGTCCGCCAGCACGAAGACCAGGTGCGGCGGCCCGGCGGCCCGAGCGCCGGCGCCCGGCGGGGCGAGCAGCAGCAGCAGCAGCAGCAGCCGCAGCAGCAGCAGGCGGAGGACGCCGGGGAGCCTCGGCCGCCGCGGCCCGGGACCTCCGGGCAGGCTGGCCGCCCCGCGCCCGCACATCCTTCGCGGCCCGCGGCCCCGCCGCCTGTGGCGCCCGCAGCCCCCGGCGCCGCTGGTAGAATCAGGAACTGGCGGCCGGGCCTGCCCCGCCCCCGCCCGGGACTCCCCCCGCCCCCCCCCCCGCGGCCAGCGGAGCCCGGGCGCCCCCGCCCCCGCCGCCTCCGACCCGGGCCCGGCCGCTGCCGGGGGAGGGGCCGGCGCCCGGTGGGCCCGGTGGGGCCGGGCCGCGTGGCACCCTCCAAGAGGAGCAGCTGCGGTCTTTGCAGTGCCTCTCTCTGGTTTACAAAGCGCTTTCTTTAAGTCTCTCCACGACCTCGGTTACTGCGAATTATAAACACTGCACCCTCCTTTCCTTTTTCTTTCACTGAATAAGGCCGTTTGTAGTTGGTTCAACCTAACCCAGACTCAGATCTTGAGCCTTGATGTTTTAAGGGCCCTGGGGGAATCCTTTCTAGCAGAAGAGCTCGGACTTATGCAAGTGGGAGGTGGATGGAGAGGCAGACTCTAGATGAGGTTTCAGATTCATTTATGAAGAGCACACACACGTGAAGCCACTTCCTCCTCACTACCCAAGAGGGGCCAAATGCACACTCCGACTGCGCGGTGCCCCTTCGAAGGGACGGCTTTGCTTAGGCTGCCCTGAGGATTTTGGGGGGTGTTGTGTGACCACTGAGCAGCTCATTAATTAGCTCGTCCGAGTAGGAGCCCTTTCAGGGCCTGGCTCTGACGCTTAAGTAGTGAACCAGGGAACTATAGTATCTAATTTGCCTGAAATCATCTGGATGGAAGGAAAAAATTTCCTTAACCACATGCTCATTGAATTGGGAAGTTAGCCTTAGGACCAGCACATTCCCACTGCCATCCAAACGCTCTGCCTCTTCTATGCCTGGGGATAGACTGTAACTATTTACAGTAGGGGGAGTGGATTATGCGCTGTATCCTCTCAGGTTAACCGAGTCTGATGCCCTGGGAACTATTTCACAGCTTTATAAGCTGTAGATAACAGATAGGAATGGAAACTAGTTCTTGTTTATACCTAACACAAATGAATTCTATCCAGTGGAGTGACAACCCCCACTGCCACCGTGGAAAAACGTTTTGCCTCCACTTGCACATTTATTTTAATATTCATGATATGATCCTCGGGTTTTAACTAGTTTTAACACCTTACCAGCTTCCTCATTAGTAAATTAAAATCTTTAACATATATTCATTTCTATATTCGTACAAGGGTCATTATTGTTTTTGAAAAATATTAACATGGAGAGTTTTGCTCTTACATATATTTATTTTTATTTGCATGAAGTGGATTAGTTTATGTTACATCCACTTTTTTTTTAAGATTTTATTTATTTATTCATGAGAGACAGAGAGAGAGAGAGGCAGAGACACAGGCAGATGGAGAAGCAGGCCCCATACAGGGACCTCGACGTGGGACTCGATCCCAGGACTCGGATCACACCCTGGGCTGAAGGCGGCGCTAAACCGCTGAGCCACCCAGGCTGCCCAACAACATCCACGTTTAATCTCTGGTGGAATTTAGCACGAAAAATAATTAAATTTATCATTAAATTCAAAAGAATAATTTTGAAGAGCTGTTTGATTATTATGTTAAAGCTTGAAATTTTCATTTAAACACCCTGTAAGAAATTATAAAGGCTTGAGAATTCTCCTCTATGGCCGTTGCATGTCCTTCGCCTTAACCTTGCATGTTTCTCCCTACCCTTCCTGATAGAAATGTAATTGCCCAAACCAATTGAGCTGCTAATCTGCAGAAACAGTTCCTCCTTTGACCACCTGCTCCAGAAACTAGCTAAACTTGCACTGAGACTTCTCATATCTTGCATTTTTGAACAAAAATGTATGATAATTGTGCCCTGGAAATGTGCCAATGAGTTAATTAAAAAGAATTCATTTATTTGTATCTATTTATTGAACACATGATATGCAATACATGCTAGTTATTGTGAAATCTCTCACTTGGACTTTGGTGTTTCTTGATGACTAGATTCAGGTGGTGGGTTTGAGCAGAAGTATCATAAAAACAATGTATCTTTTTGATGCTTTTTAAAGATTTTATTTATTTACTCATGAGAGACACACACAGAGAGGCAGAGACATAGGCCGAGGAAGAAGTAGGCTCTCTGCGGAGTCTGGTGTGTGACTCCATCCCAGGACCCCGGGATCATGACCCAAGCCAAAGACAGATGCCTAACCACCAAGCCACCCAGGTGCCCCTTGATGCTTTGTATTAAAAAGGGCATGATGTTGATTTATTATTTGATCACTTTTTTAAGGCAGCCATTTCTCCACTATTAAGTTACTATTTTCCCCCTTGTAACTAATCATTATTTTACAGGGAGATACTTTGAGAATTTTTCTATTATTTCTAAAACTTTTGCTTATTAGTTTTAACACCCACTGATGCTTCTTGCTTTGATCTATGATTATTAGGATGGTTACTGAATAATGATTTTTCTAATTCCATCATTCCTTCTATATTAATTACTTGTCAAGTAAGGAAGAAGTTTGCCTTCTCTCCCATTAATTTGTTTATTTAAATCACTATGAACTCATGGATTCTCGGGGTTTTTAAGAAGATTTTACTATTTATTTTAGAGGGAGAAAGGAAGGGGTGGGGGAAGAGCAAAAGGGAGAGGGACAAGCAGACTCCCCGCTGAGCAGGGAGCCCAATACAGGGCTCTATCTTAGGACCCTGGGATCATGACCCCAGCTGAAAGTAGAGGCTTAACTGAGTGAGTCACCCAGGTGCCCCCAATTCTTGTTTTAATCAATGTGCTTTAATTATTTCAATCCTCAAATTTCCTTTGATTTGACCAGTGGGAACCCCTTCAGTCTGGCTCTCATATCCTTTTGGCATATCCTTTTTAAACTTTGAGCACTCCCTTGCTTTTTGATACAAGATATCTAGGCCCCATATTGTACTTTTCCTTCCCCAACCCTGGAATTAACCATTTCTATGAGGAACCCTGATTGCTTTTAGTGGAGGATGGCATCTAGAACCCAGTATCTGTTCTATAGGTGTGCTCATTGCTACTGGACTGTCATTACTTCTAGGATCTCTCATCAGACAAAGATAGCAACTAGATGTATGTAGTCATACATACATAAGTATGTATATATAGCATATTAATACACGTGAATAGGTATTAAACCATGAGTTCATCGTCAATACCTCCAATTCTACTTCCTCCTTTCCAAATGTATATGCTTAGTACCAATTCTCATTGTTACCAGCCGTTAAAGTTCGATACTTTTAATTTTTGACAATCTGATATGAGAAGTGGTTGGGACGCCTGGGTGACTCAGCAGTTGAGCGTCTGCCTTTGGCTCAGGGCATGACCCCAGGGTCCCGGGATCGAGTCCCACATCGGGCTCCCTGCATGGAGCCTGCTTCTCCCTCTGCCTGTGTCTCTGCCTCTCTCTGTGTGTGTCTCTCATGAATAAATAAATAGAATCTTAAAAAAAAAAAAGTGGTATCTCAGGATAGTTTTGGGTTTCTCATTTTTCTTAGGAATAAGGCTAAAAACATCATTTGATATGTGGAAGGGCCATTTTAACATCATTCTTGTGAACTGTGTCATTTTCAACTGGTTTTGGTCTTTTCCCTGAATTTTAAGAGTTCTTTATGTACTAGAGATGTGACCTCTTTAACTGTGATATGTATCAGAAAAATGTTTCTCTAACTTTGTCAACTACCAAATATTTTGTTATGGTGTTTTTAGATATGCCAAAGTGATTTTTTTAACCTGGTAAAATTTATCAATTTTTTTATTGCACCTGGATCCTGAGTCATGATTAGACTTTTCTTATATTAAAGTTAAAGTAAAATTCACCCATGTTTTCTTCTAGTAAGGTTCCAGCTTTCACATTAGATCCCTGATCCATTGGCATTTATTTTTGTGTGTAATGTGAGATTTGAATCTAATTTTACCTTTTTCCAAATGGTTACCCAGCTATCCTAGCACCATTTGTAAAGAAAGAAGTCCATCTTTGCCCCACTGCAATGAGATGCCACATTGAGCTTATGGTTAATTTTCTCATATACTGAGTCTTTTTCTGGGCTTTCTGTTCTATGTCGCTGGCATGTCTGTTGATTCATACACCGGTACCACACCATTTTAGTTACAGAGGCTTTACAATATATTTTGATGTATGATAGGAATAGTGACTCCTCATAACTTAATTTGTAATGTTTTCCTCGTTATTCCTGCACGTTTATTTTGTCATATGAACTCCAACACCAGCATGTCCAGTTCCATAAAAATGTTGGAAAAAATTTTTATTAGAATTGCATTAAATTTATAAATTAATTGAGGGACAACAGTAAACTTTGTAATGTTAAGTTGTCCTATCTAAAAACAAAGGTTATCATCCATTAAGTCTACTTTGGTGTCTTTTAGAAGTTTTAAAAATATTCCTCATATCAGTTTTGGCTTTTCTTGTTAAGTTTATTCCTAAGTATTTAATCTTCTCTGTTGCTATTGAAATGGGGCTTTCTTTATATCCTTTAACTGGTTATTATTTGTGGACATAAAACTTACTGATTTCTGCAGGGCAATTTGTGTTCTACCAAATACTGAATTATTTTCCCTGTTTAAGTTAAATTAACTTTTTAAGGGTTTTTCCAGTACATAATCATATCAATAACAATAATTTCAGTCCAGCTAGTGGCTCTGTCAGTTAAGCATCTGCCTTCGGCTCAGGTCATGATCCTAGAGCCCTGGGATCAAGCCCCACATCAGGCTCCCTGCTCAGCAGGAGTCTGCTTCTTCCTCTCCTTTTACCCCTCCTCCTGCTTGTGCTCTTGCTCTAAAATAAATAAATAACCTTAAAAAAAAGATATTATACGTAACACCTGGTTTGCATCTAACCCACACAAAACCTATTTAACCCATAGGTTAAAATCTCTTAACTCCTTAAGTCAGTAAGAAAAAGGCCAACAATCCATTTTTACATAGGCAAAAATCTAGGAACTTAATAATATTTAGCAGAAAAGGAAATACAAGTGGT